GAATTATCAAAATTTTATTAGTGTTGTATTTCATTTGATTAAAAGATAAGTTGATAGTATTTCATTTTTAAATATTTTATACTTGTATAAGAGACTGATTTACATGTTTTTCTATATATTTAGAAAGATCAGAAAATATTTCATATCCATATTTTTGACAAGTTTGACATAAACCCCTAAGATCTTCACAATAAATATATTTTTTTTCCTGTAATCGAGTAAAAAAAACTGGTTCGTTGCATCCCATCAGAATATTGTTCATGGTATTTTTTCCACAATATTTCTTTGGTATGCTTGAGATAATGAACTGGTTCATTAGTTACTGGATCGGTTTTATAGGAACTCATAACAACATGTGCTTTATCTAATAAAAAAACTTGTAGTTGTTGTTGTATTTCTTCAGAAAAATTTTCATGCGTTATAATAGGTTTTTTAAATACCTTTCCACTAACTCTATATAAATGTGCATGCTTACGAGCATAACGAATTGTATTATTAGACACCTGTAATATGCAACATAACTTTAATAAATAATTTTTCATCATAAATTAAATATTGGTACAAGTAAATTTGAATTTATAAAATTTATTTAAATAAATGGTAAATACATAAAAAATTTATTTTGTATAAAAATATTACAATTATCTAAATTATTATGCTATTGATTAAATAAAACTATTAAAAACGCTGATATTTTTTACTCACTTCTAGATTCTTTTTGATTTAATCATAAGTAAAACTTCCTCCTATTATTGATAAAATTCGTGTTCGTCCTTTCAAACCACATTTATTCACATCTAAAGATTCTCGAAATGAATTCCAAAATGTCTTGATATCATTTTTTAAATAAAAATGTATTGAAATTAAAAATCCTTGTCTATATAATATCTCTAAATTAGTTTTATCGATTTTAGGAGTAAGTGATCTTGACCAAAATTCTACCTATTAAAAATTACAATTATAAGTAATAAATTTTCTAAAATTTTTTTTATAACAATATTATTTACCTGAGATTGATCTTTTTTGAAAGGTGTAATTTCTTCACATCCAACATTCCGTAGCATAGCTTTCCAAGCTCTAAATTCACGTGCATTAATTTCATGATTAGATGAATACAGTTTTTTCAATTGGGTTTTCAATTCAATTATTGTTGATAATTTAATAAGCCATTGGTTAAAAAATTCTTGCCGATTTATACACGTTGAAATCCTGCATTTAAGATGATATGCGAAAATTGATTCCATCAAATCACCATCATTCCAATTATTCAATGTACAACTAGGTATACGTAAAATTTGAATAAAATGTTGTGTTTGAGGTTCCTCTAAACCAAAAAGAAGTTTACCATTATATTGTTGTAATATGCCAACTTTTTTCCACAAAAATTTAGGATCGCAATTGGTAAAAGAACATAGTTTTATATTTTCTCCTGTATAAATTGTAAGAGTGCATTCATCTTCTTCAAATTCTTGAACAAAAACACACTGTTGCTTTCTAAATGTATATATGAAAGTTGCCTTATAACTAATACCAGCTAAATTCCATTTGGATTTGTTAGATTTTCCTACACTCATAATCCAAATTCGTAATTTGTCTAGAGAAAAGAAATATGGTCGAAATTGCAAGTCTTAAAGCAGTACATTAGAAATAGTAGGTGTGTCAAAGCCCATTACTGCTGGTCTTGAAAATTTTGTTTCTGTTCCAAAAATTCTTTTATATATACTACAAATTGTAACAGTAAATGTTTGACATAGTTCACTTTGAATACTGTCACACTTGCAAATATATCCTGGCATTGATCCATATTCAGATGTAGTTTTAAAAACTTCTATGATAAAGTCGTGTTCGTTGAGGTTGACTAAGGTTTTCATATGTAATCGAATAGGATATAATAAAGTCAGATTTTCTGTTTTAGCCGATGGTCGAAAAATTCATCAATTATGACAACTTGTTCCGAAATGCAAATTTTCTATTATTATACTGGGTGAAACTAATGTAATTGAATATTTTTTATGTTTTGACATTAAAAAACGTGAGATTCTAAAAAATTATTTTATTCATAATTTAATTATCCCCATAATGTATATTTAAATCAAATGATTTTCACTGATCTGCATACGGATCACGAATTAAAATTCTTAATTTAAGTAATGAGTAAATATGTTTTAGGTACTGTACATTTTCCTTAATAATCTATTCTGGAAAGTACTTTATATTTGAAATTAATTACAATTGTCAAATTAATATATAATATATCATATATGACTTGATAATAGAAATTATTCTCTAGAATATTCGAATGTGGTCAAAAATATAATATAGACTACATATCAATTTAGTAATTGACTGTATATCCATGTAACCAAATCTATAAAATATACCATCTTTGAGTGTGACCAAAATTATAATATAGGTCACATACATAATCTAAACTAAGTGGGAATAACATAATTATATTATTCTCACATAATTAATAACATATACATTAGCATAGTTTATAGTGTAATCTATTATAATTTCAAATATATATATAAAAGACTAAATTCCTTTTTTTCTCAATCCTTAGTTCTTCAACTCGAAATCAATAAACTTCTTTGTGATTTACAATAATTCTGTGTAAATTATTTCTTAGTCTTAGTAACATCTTTAAATTCTTAGTGAATTTGTCTTTTATATAATTTCTGTATAAAACTTTATTATAATTCTTAGTGAATTACTTTTGTTTTTGTAACTAGTATTTGTTATAGTTTTTGTTTTAGTAACTTATATAATATAGTTTTGCTTTTAAGACTTGTCTTAGTGAAATATTGTCTTAGTAACATATATCTTTTATTAAAAATGTCATTTTTTTTAGCTTCTTTTGAGTAAATCCATATTAATAAAACCTTTATATTTATAATTCCTTTATAGTATAACTTATTCAACAATAGTATATTTAGTATAGTTGTTTAATTATCTATACATATTTTTCTTACTTTTAGTTGCTAGTTTATTGAATTCCTTTGAAGGTAAATCTTGGTCAACAACAGTCACACTAATTTTTATTCATACAGTACAAAATAGTGTTTTCATACAGTTTATATGTATACTCAATAATTTAAATCACTTGGACATCATGTGTTTAATTTTTATTGGTTGATAATAACACTGGTGTTGAACACCACTGATGTGATATAACAATGTCGATTATAATTATTACTATTATTATTATTATTATTACTATTATTATTACTATTAATATAGATTGCCAATATTAATTACTTAAGTTTTAAAAAGAAATTCTAATATTAAAAAATATACCTTTTTATTTAAAAAAGTGACATTTTATATTCATAACGATTAATTTTCACGTGGCCGTTCTATAAATTACGGAATTACGACATATTGCTGGTCGTAATGATTACGGCTTAGCAGAAATGCCGTAACCCGTTGTAATTCCTAATTTAGGATAAGTCCCCAGGATATTTAATAAAAATCGATATTCGAAAGGTGTGACGCAGGTGATAAATACACCGCCCCTGAAAACCCCAACCCATGTCATTTTTTTAACGACATGTAGATTAAATCATGTGTATAATAATCATTCAATAACGCCATAAACGTGAACCAACACATACTTCGATCATCCAAGTTTCGAATGGAATATTTTAGGATTTTTAAACAACTGCGAAGCAGAAAATTTCGGTCAGAAGATATCATGGTATATTTATTGTCTTGAATCTATAGCTAATAGTGAAAAAGGAGGCAGGAGAGAAAAAGCACTGTTTTTGCTTGACTAGTATAGAAAGGCGAGTTATTATTTTTTTTGAAGTGGGCAACAGATGGCAAAGAATTTTCTGAGATTTTTGTCATCGTCGTCGGTATCAAGACATCAGGTGACTCTTCGAGGTCTACCTGATGTTCAAGGTTTATAAGCTGACTCAAATGGTTCTTCGAGATTGTTTGATGTCGACGGGTTTCTAAGCTGACTCAAATGATTCTTAGAGATTGTTTGATGTCGACGGATTTCTAAGTTGATCCAACAAATGGAAGTTATGGGTTATAGATAATTGAGCTATTAGTCTAAAATTTTCGATAACATATTCTTTTATGTTAGGATTCTGAACCGGGATCTATGGGCAATTGCTGAAGATCGTTTAATGGGTATAGATGTGAGCAAATTGATATGGTGGGTCTTACTGTGGTTGGTAAATATTATAAAGATATGAACAATTTTATGATATATTGCAACTTATAAGTGTATAAATACTAAATTAAAATGTAAACTAGCTCGCAAGATCTGAGTGTACGCTTTTGCTGCTTCTGGTGGCCCATTTCATTTCCATCTTCACGTGAAGACCTTTATGATTTCGAGCTTATATCTTGTGTTGAAGGATACAAAAAGAGTTGGATGAAACGATGAACATGCTACGTGAACTGCAGTCAGAAGAAGATGCAGTTCTGGTGGCCCATTTCATTTCCATCTTCACGTGAAGACCTTTATGATTTCGAGCTTATATCTTGTGTTGAAGGATACAAAAAGAGTTGGATGAAACGATGAACATGCTACGTGAACTGCAGTCAGAAGAAGATGCAGCTAATTACCAGAAAGAGGTATTTAGAGGAATCAACGGGAAGTAAGTTAGTAAAGAAACCAAAAAATTGTAAATTCGTCTGATCAGAAAACACGAAAAATGCGATAATATCCTTATCAAAAAATAATTGTATTGCAAAGTCATAATCATAATAAAATTTGATTACGTTTATCATTGTTGTATAATTAATAAAGTTTCGTGTGGGTGTGTAAATGTATAAAATAGGAAAAATAAAAGCGTAAAATATCACTTGTTTTAGAAAAGCATATTAATTGATTCGTTACTGCGAATAATTTGATACATTTTATTCACTTGATTCGTTTGATATTCCATTTCATATTTAATTTGTATAACTTCACCTTTAAAAGAATGATGGTATAATATAACAACAGCGAAGCGTTGGTATCAAATTACAACGATATTTTACATAAGTGGTTTAAGATTTTTAACTTGCGAAAAATAACGATAAATCTTATAAAGATTAAAATAGTCGAGTTAATGAAAATTTTATTATCAACAAGTACCTTCAACCAAATCAACTAATGACTACCAAAAAAGTGGTCACTAAAAATAAAAGAAAAAAAAATCCACCAGAAACAATATAAAAAGAATATAATTTTGATTGCACTAAACGAAAATAATAATAGTGTGAAGAACGGGATGCTGAATAAGAGATAAACTGGTATTTTTGTAAAAAAAAATCTAAGGTTATAATATAATTAGAATATAATTAGAATATAATATAATTAGAACGTAATTAATATAATTGAATGACATATGATATATGATTTCAATTTAAATATCAAATATCGCAATATCAATTCACTTCATTGGAAAAGGAAGAACACGAAATTCAAAAACTTCATCGGAGGGGGCCGAAATATTAAATGGACGTTTCCGGTGATTGTGAATCCGTACTATTCTTGCCATTAGTTCTTGCCACCCCTCCCCCTGCTCCCCCCGCTCCTGTTCCTGCCGTTCCACGACGTCTGCCGCCGCTATTTCTTGGCTTCATCACCTCGAAGCTCTGAATAACATAATTTTTGCATTTGGATGCGTTGGGCAGGTCCTGGATCATTTTCCTTATGGTAGCCTGCGAAAATCCGAAGTAGTCGGGACCTGAAGCCGAATTTGAGTGGTCACGTTGTCGAATAGCATTCGCTTCTCGGACCACTGACGTCCAAGCACCAGTAGCCGTGTTGGCAATTATTGGCTTATTTGGTTGATCCTCTGCCTCAATAACGAACTAAAGAACAAAAACAAAAAAATTTAGTTATTATTTATTAAGAAGATACAATACTTATTGTATTATTATATTAGACTATACCTTAGGTCCTTCACCCCCATCATCAATCTTACAAACATACATCGTTTGACTGTCTGGGTTAATCATGCTATTGTAAGCTCTAATATGTATATCAAATAAATAAGAAATACATATTTAAATATTAAATAAAAGATATTAAATCATAATTGTAAATATCTAAAAATAAATTACCTCTTAACGGCATATCCGACGGGCCAAATGTACCTTTCGTTGTGAAAGGTGTCTCGGTCATATACAACATTTCCGAGGTTCAATACAGTTAAAATTCCTATTTGTACAGGGAGTATGTAGCTGCCATGCTCATCCTGTTCGACATACTGGACTTTCATTACTTTTTCATTAAGTGGGCGTTTACTAGCCCGCTTTTTTGGAACCTTGCCGGATGACTGCGTGACCTGGATGGTATTAACAATATTATTAGCGGGAGTAGGATTCATGGACTTTTTGTTTAAATTACGGCCTCGGGGTTTCTTAATTAGACGACCAGATGTTGACCGTTGGGTGGATGATGCTATTAATACAAAAGAACATTTTGTTATATATATGTGGTGCGTATTTATACGAAAAACTTATTTTTAAGAAACGAAAAATATGTTTACCATCGGAGTCTGAGGACTCCGCAGACGAGAGATCCACGGACTTTTCATCGGAATCCGTCATTTCAGAATCCTCATATTGGCTTATTTTATCTAATAGCAATCTAAAGAAACAATAGAGAAAGTGAAGCAAAGTTGTAAATGTAAGTTGTAGAAAAATAAAACATTAATAATGAAATGTAATATACATACTCTTTTTGTCTTTTTAAAGACTTTATCCTTTTTCGAGACCTTTCTAATTCCCTGGTGACCTTTTCTAAGTCCTGTTTACGCATAATAGTATTTTCAGGTTAGTAACGAGTCGAGATTGTTAACATTGGTCAGTTATGTATTGTGAAACAAAAATTTAAAGCAATGTAAAGCCTCGTCTAAAGTTCATAAAAACTCGTTACTCATGTAACAACTCATTAAATTGACAAAGACCTCACATACAAGAATACATTTACATTTGTATATATGCAAAGTTGAAAAAAAGAATGTAGCAATGAAATAAACAGGTTGTTATTATTCCTTGGAAGCCTTTATGTGGGTTTTGACTTTTCTCAAGATCATATATGTTTATTTTAATTCAAAGTATTACTTACGCCTTGCATATCACGAGCTCTTCGTTTGAGTTTCTGGTATCTTTCTTGAGGGACGAATCCACTTTCGTGAGAAGTGGTATGCCTTCCCCGACTAATTTGTGAATGGTTTTGAGACATGTTTTAAAGAATATTATTGAATATTATTGAATATTATTAAATGTATTAAATGTATAAATGTGCTTGACGTTTATCCTAAAAGAATAAAAAGTAAACACACAGAGGAAATGGATTTGTGTGGGCAGTGGGAACTTTTATATACAAAGTTTGGGGGAGTGTCAGTGGTCCTTTTTCGGATAGTATTTTTATAGTGATAGGTAAATATATGTGTATTATAGCAGATAGTGCCCCCAACAGTCTTCGGGTGTATAATTTGCAAGTAAATTTTTTATCTTGTGGGAAGAAAATTTATAGGCTATCAATTGTGTAAATGATTTTTTTTTTGCAACGCAGACGTAATTCATTTGTATGGTTGTATTAATTATATTGTAGGGTTTGATTTGGAACATACTGGAAGGATGTTTCGGAAGGCTTGTGTGTGTGTGCTCTTAGTTCAAGGACAAAAGCCTGCCTCTTTCAAAAGAGAAAATGGATTATTTCAACCTTTACTGCTAGAATGTGATTGGTAGGGATAATAATGTACAACGTCACATCAGTAGATTGCTATCCATAATTAGAATGGACAGAGTCGGGGCATTAAATTGAAAGTATATATAGTATGTATATTATATTTTCGAACCATGTCGGATAATTTGACGATCAATCACGTTGGAAGAATATATTCCTTTTATAAGTATTTATAAAATGAAAATTCTATTTATATTGAAATAAATTGAAAATTTCTATTTATACAACTGCTTATATTTAACAAAAAAAAAAAGCAACACTAAATTATTTTTGAATTTCTAAATCTTTTAGAATTTTATTTTGATTCTAAACTCTTTATACAAATTTTTTAACCCATCTAAATTATCTAAATTATTTTAAATTTTTTAAATTATTTAAGCTAGTTTAAATCTTTTAAATTGTTTTAATACTATTCAAATATAAAAGAATTATTGTATCAAATGGTAATTTTTATATAAAATTCCTATATTAATGATTAACTAAAAATTAATAAAAATAAATTGTCCTATTGTATCCTCCTATATTATAAATTAGCTAAAATAGGAATTTATTTTCAGTATAGTATATCCTTGTATTTGACTTGTATAAATCTTTCAAATTATTCTAAACTTTTTAAACTATATTAGAAAAATTTTTTTAACAAAAACCTTTGAAAATTAATATTAATATAAATATTTCATTATTAATTATTACATTATTTTTTAGAAATTTTTATTAGCTTTCGAAGGTTATTGATTTTAATATTTTTATGTGACAAAATCTTATAAATATCATTATTTTTATGATAATTTCATTGTAATTTGTATTGAAAGTTTTTGATAAAATCTGTTTTTGTTAAATATTTATAATATATTATTTTATAAAACTTTGATAGTTATAACTTATATTAAATTTTTGTAAATCTTAACATATTTATTTTTATTATATTCTGCATATATTTATAATATAACAATTTTAATTGACATTATACTATTAACAATATCCTTTAAAATTTATCAAACAATTTTAATTAAATTGTACTATTAATAATATCCTTCAAAATTTATTGTAATAATTTTAATTAACATTATACTGCATCAGGAAATTTTTGAGAACAAATATATTTGAATATATTTGAATTGAATATATTCGGATATACTGTATTTGATCACTCACATATTTATCTACATTAAATATTCAAATTTATCTAAATAAATATGTAAATATATTCACATATATTTGTTTATTCGAATTTATTCGAATACATTTTTCAAATATATTTGCATATATTCATGTATTTGAATTATCTGAATACATTTTTCGAATATATTCACATACATTCGTGTATTCAAATTTATCCAGATATATTTTTTGAATATCCGTGTGATTCAAATATATTTGAATATATTTTTCAAATATATTTGCATATATCCATTCGAATTTATTCAAATACATTTTTAAATTTATGTATACAACTTTAGATAACACAGGTCAAAATTTAAATATCGGACATTTATCAAACACCTATCGTTACCTATCAGGGAAGAATAAACATATTGAGTACCCGATATGATTGATTATTACTAAGTACCCGATAATTAATTTTGTAAATTTTATCATGCACCCGATATAATAGTAATAGGTGTGAAATAATTTTATTATTATCTCAGGTCTCCGATATTGTCTTGAATATCGGGTGCATGATATTAAAATAGTAATATCGGGTGGATAATATTCTAATTATTTTATTCGGGTACATAATATTATTATATGCTCATTGTATTAGATAATCTCTTTATTATTTATTATTAAATAAAATAAATTAAACATTAAATCTTCTATTCAATAGAATTATTGAAACATAATTTTTCTTATTCTTATTTCCTATCCAATAATCTATCTTAATGGCTTGACTATATATTCTATGTACTACAATAATTGAATTTATACCTTTCTCATAGTATTCTTTTCTCTACAACTCTGTATTTGATATTTCGTGTGTCATAAATTTATGCTTAAATTGAATACTAGAGGAAAATGTATTTTTGTACCATTTGATGTAGGTTAAAAGATATGTTCTTGATTCATTCAGAAGGGTAAGTATATGTTCAAAGTAATATTATACTTCTAAAGGGTAAATATTACTTGTTCCATTTCTAAAGACCTACTATTTTGCTAAGATTACTATATTATTTTCATATTGGTCTATAATTTTGGATCCAAATATTTCATTCCCTATTATTAATCTTATATGTTGATTTATAATCACTTCCATACATACCTTTATATTTTTCTTTTTTAAATTATATAATGTTACATATCATCTATATAATCTTTTTTGAATTTCTATTGGAATACTTATCTTTTTATATATAGATGCTAGCATATGTTCTGATATATATTCAGTGTCATAGATCTTATTAAATGTATTATGTCTTAGGGAGATAAAATATTGTAACTCTTCTCTATCAAATTCATTAGTTATAGCTAAGTTGCCAGCAGCTTTCTTCGGTACAAGAAATTGAAGAGACTTCTTCAAAAAACCAGATGTCTATTAACAGAAAAGATAATAATCCACAAGTGAATTTTTGAAGACTATTTTCATAAGTTCGAGTTTAATCTGCTAATTATTATTGGAATAAGAACCTATGAAAGATTTGTATTAAAATTTTATTTATTTTCATAAGTTCGAGTTTAATCTGTTAATTATTATTGGAATAAGAACCTATGAAAGATTTGTATTAAAATTTTATTTACTATAATTCATATATCCAATATCTATAGTTTATCTATATATCTATTTAATCGTTCATATGGGAATAGCCAAAAGTTATAAATGGAGCCATAATTCGTATATATTCAGGAATATACATCAATAAATAAATATTACTTGTAATGAATTTAGGTCCATAGGTTCTTTATATATTTATGGACATATCCTTCTTATGCTTCTTGCAGATCGTCTTCTATAACAAATCTAGTAATCAATAAGTTATATACCCAAACAAAATGTTTCAAAATCTTTCTATCATTATCATTTAACATGTCCTATAGAATTGTTGTTGCATAAATCATAATAAAGGTCTTCCATTGATTAGCGGTGAGCTTTAAAAATTCTTTTTTAATAGTAATCTTTAGAGAAATTTGACCAATATTAGATAGAAGTTAAATATTATCTATTCTCCTTTGTACTATACGAAGTTGTTCAGAATTTAATTTATTCTCTTTAATAAATATGGATTAAATAATCTATTTTGTAACCTTACACTGATCAAAATCTGGTATATCATGCACTTATCATGCACCAATCATGGTGCCCGATAGGTACCCAATATACATCTTTTGACACATATCGGGTACCCGATAAGTGTCATCATATTCCCTAATATCGGACACTTATCGGGGACT